TCCTACCTCTATGATGTTAATGGGGCAAGTTTAGAGGCAGTTCTATTAATGAGGCAGGACTCAATCAATCTACATAATTAGGTTGTATCCTGAGTCAATCTCTTTTGAGATATAAAACAGAGAAGTTGGCAGAGAGACCGGGGGACATCTTACCACCCAGAATGAAGAACCAGGAAGGAGGGGCGTCCTTTGGACGTGGGGTCCCTGCACTGAGAAGTTCCTAGACCAGGGGAAGATTGATGACAAGGAGGAGAAGATTGATGACAAGGATCTTCTCCCAGAGCCTACAGAGAAAGCTTTCCCCTGGATCTGGTGCCCTGAATTTGGAATTCTAGCCTCCTAAACTGTAAGAGAATAAATTTCTCTTTGTTAAAGCCATCTGCTTGTGGTATTTCTGTTACAGCAGCGCTAGATAACTAAGACGCAGGGGTTGTGGGGAACGAGAATGGGGAGTGACTGCTTAATGGGTATGAGGTCTTTTTAGGGGGTTATAAAAATGCTTTGGAATAGATAGAGGTGGTGTCTGCACAAGATTGTGAAATGTAGTGAATGTTACTGAATTATATACATTAAAATACTTTATGTTATGTTAATTTCACCTCAAAAATAAAAATAAGTACTGATCATGGCACAACATGGATAACCCTCAAAAATACTATGTTAAGTGAAAGAAGCCAGTCATGAAAAACTATATATTGTATGACTCTAATTATATGAAATGTCCAGAATAGGCAATTCCATAGAGACAGAAAGTACATTGGTGGCTGCTAGGGGCTCGAGACTGGGGAATGGGGAGTGACTGCAAATCAGTATGAGGTTTCTTTTTAGGGTAATGAAAGTATTCCGAAATTAGTAAGTGGTAATGGTTGCACAACCTAGTAAATATACTAAAAATCACTGAATTGTCCATTTTAAAATGGTGGCTTTTATGGTATGTGAGTTATATCTCAATTTTAAAAAGTAATAATAAACCTAAATGAGGCCTGGTCCAGAAAGGGGAGTCATCCTGTTTTTGGAAGATCCTGAGACAGAATTGATATAATTTCCTGTCTCCCGAACACTAGTCTTCAGTGTTTCTGCTCTGGTTTTATCATTCTAATTTCCTTCTTACCCCTCAGACAGATTCTCCAAGGCATCAGTATTACCATTTAATTTGTAAATTCATTTCACCGTCATTGTCTCCACCGGCACTCACAATAACCTTGTGCACATAGACACATGTTTCTTTCAGTCTCATCTGCAACTTGACCCCGTGTGAAGCCTTCCCTAACTAAACTAAGAAGAATTTTATTCCTCTGGGTTCCCACAGCACTTTGTATCCACTGCTGTTTGTAATCACTGGTAGCTCCTTAGGATAAACTGGTAAGCAGGCATGATTCCCTCATCTATTGACTTCAAAGAATGGCCAGACTCAAAGAAAGCATCGATCAAGGCTTGTCAATGGTTGAATGAGCAAGAGACAATCATCCGTATACATCCCTTTACTTAGGATGATTTATTAACGTAATGGATTTATAGGGGCAGCGGAGGGGATGAAGAGAGAGCATTAAGGTATAAAAGAAATAGGGGTTTGAAGACGTTGGGAAGGTGACGGACAGAGAAGTCCAAGAGGAAAGTGTTTTAGGAAGAACAATGAGAGAGAGGAGAGAGAAAGGGACTGCAGGCAGGGAAAAGAACTAGCATTGGAACAGGGAATATAAAAACAAGTTAGAAGAAAAACTACGAGACCAGTAGCCTGAGCAGGTATTAAACACACATGCCTTGGACGCTCATAGTGCCTATCAGTAGATCTCTTTCAACCTGTCTCTATGTCAAAGCACATCCCTATGTGCCCTAGATCCCTGTGTTGAACAGGGGCATATTAGCCCAAACGAAGGGCAGGGTTGTGGAGCTGAGAAAGAGAAGGATACACAGAGGGAGGAGAATCCCTGCTCCCCAAGGAATGGAGGAAATAAACACTGCCTGAGGCAAGGCTTAGGATTTCATTCTACGTAAGGCCTGAGCTGTGCATGAAATGTTGAATTGAGAAACTGTGAGTCCAAGAAGGTAGCATCCAGGAGGTAAGTCTGGGTAGACTTTTTTGGGAAGATGAGGAGAAAGCGACATGGAGGAAAGGGTGGGAATAAGTACCAGCTAAGTGGATGGCTGTCTGTTAAAGTTCAAAGAGGGGCAAAGGGCAAAAGGGAAGGATTGGCTATAATAAATAATTTTCCTTAGGAGGTAAAATAGGAGAAGGGAAATTTGGAAGGTCAGGTGACAATAAACAGATTGGTGAGGAAGTGATTCTTGTCTCCTAAGAAGGATGAAAGAAATATAAATTGCATACATGTTCTATCCTCAGACATTGAGGAATAATGGAAGGAAAGGTTATTATATCATGTAAGGGGATTTATGAAGGATAAATGGATGAAGTTGCTGAATGGGTCAGGCAGGCAGGGGATTCAAAGAATAGGTGAAAGGATATCCCTAAAACAGCAGAAGATATGTTTTTCCTAGCAGAAAGAAGGGAATCAATAGAAGATGAAAAAGATAGTAAAGAAAAAGGAAGGCAAAACAGTTTGTGCCTGATGGTCTAGATCTCTGTTATTGCAGAAATTAAGCCATCTGGTATACTGGGGACATGGAGGAGAGGGATAGGGATAGGGATAGAAGAGGAGACGAGAAGAGAGAAGGGAAGAAGAGGAGAAAAGAGGAGAAGAGATGGGAGGAGAGGGGAGGAGAGGGGAGGAAAGGAGAGATATTTGGAACCAACATTGAGGGGAATGGTTGTTACAAAGCTAAGAAGAGATGAGTCAAAAGATGACAGTCTTCAGTGGAAACAACCTATACTTGTAATGGGTCAGATACATAAATTTATCAGACAAAAATCCACTGCCTTACAGCAGAAGCTAGAAATAGGAGCCAGGATGAGGATTCGTCAGGGACTAAGAGAATGAAAATTGGGAGAAATGTAGTCAATATCAATGAACTCTGGTAGTGGCACAGGGGTTAAAGTGCTCAGCTGCTAACTGGAAGGTCATGGGTTTGAACTCACCAGCTTCTCCTTGGCTCCTTGGGAGAAAGATGTGGCAGTCTGCTTCCATAAAGATTTACAGCCTTGAAAACCCTATGGGGCAGTTCTACTCTGTCCTATAGGGTCGCTATAAGGTCGCTATGGGTCAAAATTGCTTTGACAGTAATGGGTTTGGTTTTGGTTTGATGGTCCCTATCATTCGAGGCAAAGTTTGAGCATTTGGAGAGAGTATGTGGCAGAAGCCCAAGGGGCTGAGACATTATTGGTTCTGGCAGAAGAAGAGATGGAAGTTTAGATAAGATAAATAAGTTGTCATTGAATTATGATCTTTCAGAAGCAAATGGCCAGGGCTTTCTTCTAAGACACCTCTGGGTGGATTCAAACCACCAACTTTTCAGTTAGTAGTGAAGCACTTAACTGCGCTACCCAAAGACTCCTTAGAAAAGATAGGGAAGAAATTTTTTAAAGTTTTTAACATCAGTGGTTCACAAACTTTAGCATACATCAGAATCACTTGGAGGGCTTGTTAAAACAAAGATTGCTAGCCCCCACCTCAGAGTTTCCATTGATTAGGTTTGAATGGGGACCCAAGAATTTCTAAGTTCCCTGTTGATGCTGATCCTGCTGATTACAGTTTCAGAACCATTGCTCTCCACCTTCCTCCATGCCGAGTGCTTTCACACAGTTCACAGCCACAGAGGTGACTCAGAAAGCACCAAACCACAACCAACTCTGTTAGCATCGAGTCGATTCCAACTCACAGCAACTCTGTAGGACAGAGTAGAACTGTCACTTAGGGTTTCCAAGGAGCAGCTGGTGGATTCGAACTGCTGACCTTTTGGTTAGCAGCCGAGCTCTACTACTGTGTCACCAGGGCTCCTCAGAAAGAACCTTGCAGCCGAATAAGGCTTCTACGGGCACAACTTAATTGACTACACAAATAGGGTAGCAATTATGCTCATTTTAAAGATCAGTGACTTGTCCAAGTTCGTGCAGTCAATAACATACAGAGCAGATCTCTGACCCAGGTTGTTTCACGTCCTGCCCAGTGTTCTTTCTAAATGCCATAGCTGCCTTCATGTCCCCAAACTTGTCAGAACATCTGTGACCTGGGGAAATGAGATGCAGGGTCTGCAGTGCCCACCACTCCTGACCCTATCTTTCTATGAAGACTGTTAAGCAGAGGCAATGTCTTTGGTGTGGGACTACAACCCCTTTAGGCAGAGCCTAGGGCTTTACAGAGCTAGTCACAGTTCTCATACCCACAGAGACTGTTTTTAATGTTCAAGCTACCTCTGCTGTTTTCAGAGCCTGAAGCCCTATGCCAATTCTGGCAATGTTTTCAAGTCCTAGTTGCTGGGAAGCCTTACAGATGAGTAGAGAGCCTCTGAATACGGACTCAAAAGGACTGAATAAGAAACAGAGGAGAGCATTGGTGGGTCAGTGGTAGAATTCTCACTTTCCATGCAGGAGAGCCAGGTTCAATTCCTAGTCATGTACCTTATGCACGGCCACCGCCCATCTGTCAGTGGAGGCTTGTGTGTGGCTATGATGCTGAACAAATTTCAAACTAAGATGGACTAGGAAGAAAGGTCTGGTAGTCTACTTCTGAAAATCAGCCAATGAAAACTCTATGAATCACAATGGTCTAATCCCCAGTCCATCATGGGATAGTACAGGAGTAGGCAGCATTTCCTTCCATTTCCCACAGGGTTGCCATGAGTCGGGGGCTGACTCTAAGGCAACTAACAGCAACAACAACAATAAAGAAACAAAGTCTGTTTGTGGGCAGGTTCTATAATTGTACCTTTGTGCAGAGCCCATGTGTGACTGTCTATAGAGAATGTGCCTATGTGCTGAGCCCATGGCTGTTGTACAACCTGTGAGTGTGTGCAGCCGCTGTGATACCGTGCAGATCTTGTGGTTGTTTGCAAGCCTTTATGCGCATTGTGCCAGTGTATTCAAAGTCTGAAGCTGTTTTTCCCGTATGACACAGGTGAGGGCTCTGCAGAAAATCATGGCCCTTTCATCTGCCAACAGCTTAGCTGCTTTGAACAACTCTGACACGCGTATGACAGGCTGCCTCCTCACTGGCATCCCTGGGCTGGAGCACCTGCACATCTGGCTCTCCCTCCCCTTCTGTGCCATGTATATAGCTGCCCTCGCAGGCAATGGCATACTAATTTGTGTCATCCTCTCTCAGTCAAGCCTGCATGAACCCGTGTACATATTCCTGTCCATGCTGGCTGGCACTGATATCCTGCTCTCCACCTCCACCATGCCCAAGGCTCTGGCCAACTTCTGGCTCAGTTCTAGCCATATTTCCTTTGACGGCTGCCTCACTCAGATGTTCTTCATCCACTTCCTCTTTGTAGCAGACTCTGCTGTCCTGCTGACCATGGCCTTTGGCTGCTATGTGGCCATCTGCTCTCCTCTGCGATATGCCACAGTCGTCACGAGCACAGTCATTGGGAAGGCTGTTACTGCCTTCCTGACCCGCAGCTTCATCATCGTGTTTCCATCCATCTTTCTGCTCGACCGCCTGCACTATTGCCGAATCAACATCATTGCACGTACCTTCTGTGAGCACACGGGCATTGCCCGTCTGTCCTGTTCTGGTATCTGCATCAATGTCTGGTATGGATTGGCAGCTGCTCTTCTCTCTACAGGACTGGACATCATCCTTATCTCCGTTTCCTATGTCCACATTCTCCGAGCTGTCTTCCGCCTCCCTTCTCAAGATGCCAGGTCCAAGGCCCTGAGCACTTGCGGCTCCCATGTCTGTGTCATCCTACTCTTCTACATCCCTGCCCTTTTTTCTGTCTTTGCCTATAGGTTTGGTGGGAGACGCATGCCACCCTATGTCCATATTCTCCTGGCCAACCTCCATGTGGTCATCCCACCTATGTTCAATCCCATTATTTATGGAGTGAGGACAAAGCAGATTTTGGAAGGGGCTAAACAGATGTTCTCAGATTTTACCAAGGAATCTAGATAAATGCTTCCAGCTTGATCTCAATCCCTTTCTATACATATAAATTTTTCTATATTCACCCCATCCTCAGGTCTACATCCTCCAGTTCTCATGTTATTCTCATCCATGTCACAAATTATTTAAATACATCCTGTACTTAAACCCACCTCTTGGAAAAAACAAAACAAAATGTCTGATTTTTTTCCTTAGATGTTTATAATAATACCACCCTACTCTCTTTCACATATTATTCTAGCGGCTTCTGATTCCTCACCACCTCAAGAAAAACTAACTTACTTCAACTCTGCCATCTAAATAGGGCTTTTTCTTAGGATCCAGTGTTTGTCAAATGTTGCTGCCCATTAGGCTCACCAGGGGAGCTTAAAAAATCTCCATGCCTAGATCACAATATCCTGCCGTCTAAATCAGACTCTCTGGGCGTGGAAGTCGGGCATCAGTAAAATTTCCCAGGTGATTTCAATGGGCAGGTACTCTTGAAAAGCAATGGAGTAAAAGATAGTTGATGATGGAGATTTAAGAAATGACTTACCATTCATCTTCCTGACTAGTAAGAAAATAATTTAGAGCATGAGAAGAGCTGGCCTAAAGGATAATGTATCCAGTGGCTATGCCACAAAATTCTAATTTGTGTGGTAAGTGTGAAGGACAGCCTCTAAGAGCCTTTGTGCCTGTTTCTCTCCAGGCTGTCCTTCTAGGTTTGAGTCCTGTCTATTGGCCTTGGCCATTTTCTAGTTTGATAAGATGGATAACCCTTTAGGTGTCAGAGCCATCTGGTTCTTTCTAACAAATGTTTTGAATGAGTGAAGCATCCTATCTATTATGGCCTTTGATAAATCTCTGACTATCTGCTAACCAGTGTGATATTTCATTATCCTCAAACTCATATGCCTATTTTCCTGGCAGGTTCATTCAAACTGCTCTGTATAAATGGAATCTGTCTTCTGTGGAACTAACCCAGCATATCTTCAGTGAGTGCCTGCCTTATTCTCTGCCCTCCTTAGCCACCTGTGCCACCACCCCAAATCCCTGTAGCTGTAGCATATCAATAGCGCCACTTGAAAAGGCCACTCCAAACCAGAATAGTAGAGAAATAAAGGATTGCCCCGCAGCACCTAGTGGCACAGAAATATGAAGGTTAGAAGGAAAGAAGACCCGAAAGAATTAAAGAAATGAGAGGCCAGAGGCAGGAAACTTTGGGCTAGTACCTGAGGTTGGTAGATGGGCTTCGAAAGGACTCAAGATCTGACCAGGCATCGTCCCTGGAAACGGAATCAACCTGACTGACACAGCCTGAGAGCTGAGATAAACTGAGAGTAGGAGGGAGCCGTCTTAATGCTGGGATGAGTGCAGAGGCTAAAATCAGTCGCCTTAGATTCAGACAGACTTGGCTTAGAGTTGAAGAGTCATCATATTCACCACATACTAGCTGTGTGACACTGGGCAACCTATTTAACCTCTTTAAGCCTCAGTTTTCTTCTGTGTAAAAAGGGATAATATTAACTACTTCAGAGGTAGTTTTAATTATTAATGAGATTAGCTAGATAACAAAATAAATACCAGTAATGAGTTGCAGTAGAGCCGACTCCAACTATGGCGACCCCATACGTGTCAGAATAGAACTGTGCTCCACAGGGTCTTCAATGACTGCTTGGATGTTGATAGCCAGGGCTTTCTTCCCTGTAGCCGGTAGGGGGGCTCAAACCTCCGACCTTTAGGTTAGCAGCCGAGCTCGTTAACTATTTGCACCACCCAGGACTCCACAAAATAAACAACTGTTATATTAATGGAGACTTTGTTTCTATCATATTTTTCACTGTTATAAAATGGCTGGAATATACTTCATTTCTGGCATATTTGTGTTCACATCTGGAAGAACTGTATATTGTAAATTAAATGCTTAAAAGTGGAATATCTAAATCATAGATTATGCACATTTAAAATGTTGATAAATGTTGGCAAATTGCTAAAGATTGGTTAGGTCATACCAATTGAATATTATCACTCTTTGACATTATCTCATTGTTGTTTTAGTTTGAATTAAAAATAAATATTAATAAGTCTAAATATCTTTTCAAGATTATTGTCCATATTTTTGTCTTCTCTGAATTAACTTTCACCATTTTTCTCTAGTTTTCTTGATCCAATTGAGTTTAAGACCTGATATGCAAATCATATTAATCATTTGTAATATATAGAATATAGTAGTATTTTTCCAGTTTGTTTTTCAACATTCTAAAAGATTTTGTCCTTCAGAAATTTTTATGTGATCAAGTCTGTTAGTCCTCTTACTTATAAATTTATATTTTATTATTATTATTATATCATTAGCAAAAAACCAAACCCATTACCAAGTAGTTGATTCTGATTCATACCAAACCCATGTGTTACAAAGTAGAACTGCTCCATAGGGTTTTCTTGGATGTAAGTAGATCACCAGGCCTTTCTTCTGCAGTACTGCTGGTTGGGTTTGAACCACAAACCTTTAGGTTAGTAGTCAGCAAAGTTCGCACTACCTAGTGTCAGAAATGAAACAGAGTCTGTAAAATAAAAGTTTTATTCAGATTCAAAGATTTGCAAATTGAGAAGCGCCAAAATGAAAGTTTAGAATGGTGTTCTGATGAGGGAGCGTAAGTGCACGTCTTTTATTAGACATTTGTACAGGATGGGGAAAGAGTACGGCGGCACATTTGACTGGCTGACATCCAACATGCTTTGTAAGACTCATTTATCAAGAATTTCTATTGGCTGGGATACTCAACCTTAAAACAAACACATTGTCATGGAGTCGAATCCAACTCATAGCAACCCTATAACACAGAGTAGAACTGCCCCATAGGGTTTCGAAGCAGCGGCTGGTGGATTCGAACTGCCAGCCTTTTGATTAGCAGCTGTAGCTCTTAACCGCTGTACCACCTCAGCCACAAGTTTATTTAATTCCAGACGTGGTTCCTTCTGTTTCTCTTACATTCTGGATGGACCACCTGAGAATGTTGCAGAACAAGTTATCTTGGTCAAAAGTGTTGTTAGGGGACCCTAAAGGCTTAGGACACCTAATTAATTAGTACTCCATCGGTTATCAGGCCACCTCTGGTCACCTCCCCCACTACATCACTCATTTCCTCTAAGTTGTTTTGCAGACCCTCTGGAGAGCTGTGGACGGGTCCAGATCTAACCAGCTCGGAGTGGTTAGACATGCGCAGAACAGACAAAGATGACACAATGGACCCCGGGCTGCTACCCATGCTCAGTAACACAAGAGAACTTATGTCAAGAAACCAAAAGACTCTTGTCAAGGAACTAAAATCACCAGATTTATGTCATCTGCTGTAGCCGAGCCCATTTCAAAAGCGAAGAGCCTGTCAGCCACTTCCGGGCCAAGTCTTAGCCCTGCCTCGTAATAAATAATCAACAGAAACTATGAATAGTTAAGAATTTCTGATCCTGCCCACTGCCTTCCTCCACCCCTAAATGAATATGTATAAGTATAAAATGGTGATTTCTCACTCAAATCAAGGAACTCAATCTGAGGTCGATACCTCTGAGTCCCCACTTGCTAGTCTGCGAAATAAACTATTCTTCTCAAAAACAGCGTCTAAGAGATCGGCCTCTTGCACGTTGGGTGCGGACCCACTGGTCTGATTTCAGTGTGGTTATAGGTAATGTACTCTAGAAAGCAGAAGCAGGAGCCTACTATGAAACGGAGTTGAATTCAGACCTTTGTCAGCCATTGTAGTTATGGCAAGTGCCTCAGTTTTAGAGTGCTCTTTCAATGTCATTACAATATTTCACTTTATTTCAAGGCAAAAACGTTTCTCTATATTTTATTTTAAATATAAAATTAACGCATGCTATTGGCAAAGCATTAAAATTAAAAAGTGAGAAGTAAAATTTCCCTGTAGCATCTCCACAAAGGTAACAAGTTCTTGTCTGGAATTAAAGGGAGAATTTTCCCTTTTTCATGTAACAAAGTGTGGGGCCTTGTGTTACAGATTGGGTCCCTGGGTGGGAGACTGAGTAAGGGGGATTTGAACAGAGTATGACATCGTTTACAGAAGAAATATCTAGGTTTTTGAGACATTTCTTTTCACTGAGTCCTTATTACTCTTCCAAGGCCCTAGAAAACTATTCTCAGTTATCCCTGAAAATGCCCAAACGAATGATAGTGTTAAAATTCCAATTTGCCAGGTTTTCAAAATAATTGGAATTGAAAGGACATTAAAAGAAAAAGCAGGAAAAATTCCTTCCCTGTCTCATTCATTTTTCCAAACACCACAGCTCTCATTCCCTTATGACTTCAAGCTTTAGCCCTAAAACAAATATCAAAAGAAAGTGTAGCTAAAAATCTTTTATTAAGCTCCCAGATGTGACAGTTACTGATGCTCATCTTCCATTCTTTATTTCTTTTTGCTAATTTTCTTGATGGAAGACTTTTTGAAAAACTTTATTTGCATATCTATGTTCACATTCATTGCGATTTGAATAAAACAGCCCAAGGTACCCATTCCAGTCTTAGCTGACTTTTGGTAACTATCTCTTCCTAGATTCTTCTTTTTTGTCCGTCAGCCCTCACTCTCAGGAGCCTGATCTTGGATTGAGCCTTCCTTTCCCTATCACTTCTGATCTTCTGGGTGTCAGTAGTCACACCTCCATATATTTTAGGGGCCTTAGGAGTATCCACACTTGAGAGTTTGTTTTTGTCATGATATTCAGGAGAGTTTCATGGTGGAACAGAAGCAAGCTTCAACTTGCATCATCCATGGGCAATCTTCAGGCAGCTGTACCTAGAATCCACACGAGAAGTGAACTGAAAAAACCCGTGTGGCTTTTCAACCCTGCGGACAGGAGGTACACATATCTGCATTCCTTGTTTTGGGATTCCAGTGCCCTTCCGTTAAGGATTGCCTAAGGACTGTTCTGTGAAATCTCTTTGAACTCAATCCAATTTTCTCTGTTTGCCAAAAGCCTAGGTCTGGTCTTTTATCTGCATACCCAAAGCTCCTTTCTCTAGGGGCCCTTTCTCCTCCCTTAACCCGCCCTTCCCCATCTTGTGACTCTCATCTAGAATCCTCGGGGCAAGAAGTGCAGCATTCTTATTATCAGATTGCTGTACCACTGAAACTCTGTAGGCATAGTTCCTAAATTCTGTAAAATCCATTGCTGTTGAGTTGATTCCGACTCAATAGTACAGAGTAGAACTGCCCCATAGAGTTTCCAAGGAGCTGCTAGTGGATTAGAACTGCTGACTTTTTGGTTAGTAGTCTGAGCTCTTAACCACTACATCATCAGGTATTCATAAGAACCTTAAAACAAAGATTTATGGATGAGATATATATGTACATATATGTATATACCCCATAATTTTAAATTGGTAAATTTTAATAATCTTTTTGCTAAACATGCTATTATGCCAAGTGGTAGTCTTTTATTCAGATAGTTTCAGAAAGTTCATACTTAGTATGGCGCACAGGTATATTAGGAGTCCTTGAATGGTGCAAATGGCTAACGTGCTCGGTGCTAACCAAAAGGTTGGAGGTTCAAGTACACCCAGAGCCTACTCAGCAGAAAGCCCTGCCAGTCTACTTCTGAAAAATCAGCCATTGAAAACCCTATGGAGTACAGTTCTATTATGATACACGTGGGGTTGCCATGAGTTGGAGTCGACTCTATGCAACTGGTAAAAAGCAAAACAAGACAAAAAACTTTTAAAAAGGTGTTTTATCAGCGTTATTAAACACGAATAAAATGTTAGAAAGCTAAAGTAAACTGAAGGCGCTTTACAAGTGCCATCTTTGGCCTTCGGGTATTTTTAAAGGCCCCAGAATATGCTGTTCATCAAGAGGCACAGTCTTGCTCTCCTTCTCTGCCTAATGGGACACTGGTGATCACACCCATTGAGTCTGCAGGACATAAGGCTGTGAGGACATACTGGCCCTATCAGCAGCATCTCCTCCCCCGACCCCGCCCCTTTTTAACCCGGTGTCCTTCAGCTTCAGGGGAGGTAGCGGCGGCCGCAGCAGATTCTGGCTCTGACCCAGGCCACAGATTCCAGGTTAGTGAGCAAACCCATTTTCTAGCCAGACACCAAGTTGCTGTTCCCACTAGAAGAGAAAGTTTGACCCACTCTATATAGGTGGGGTTGGGGAGTTCGCGGGTGGAGGAACAGTGAGGGAGATCTCTGCAGTTTTGAGTTGACCCAAGTTTGGGAAAAGAGTACAGAAGACGCACCTCTGGAGCTGGGAAAAGGTTGTATAAAGGCTAGTGACACTTAGACCCTGGATCTGGAAGCTAAATGACGAAGGAGAGGCAGCCTCGGACGTTTTGTGTTGGGGAATTACGGCAAACTCTGGGTTTGAGGTGGATCCAGAGGACAGCAACCCCTCCTCCCACTTCCAGCCTCTCCGCTTCGGGAAGTGAAGACAGTTTATCCCCCACTCCCTGAGGCCCTGCTGCCTCCAGAGGGAGTTGGGAGAGAAGCCGGCGGCGCGCAGCCCAACCTGGGGCCCGTCCAAAGGCCTGAGGCTCGCAGGGAAGGGAGCCCAGCCTCGCGGGGGTAGAGTTCTGATAAAAGACGGAAGGGGTGGGCGCCCTCTGTCCTTCAGAATTAATTTAAAACTCTAAAGAGCCTTGACCCCTGACTTCCGCTCACCTCTGGAGCTTCCCTGGCTTCTCATTCTCTCGATGGCCGCTTTTCCCGTAGAAGAGAAACGTCTACAGTTCCGTGACTGCGCCACGTATTGGAACTTCTGGCAGAGGTGACACAACAGTGAAAAAGACGATGTCTTCTCCCTTTTAGAGCTTAGGATAGTAAATTTTTATTTGCTTTTCTTCCTAGCTGCAAATTAAACTCAATGAGTTTATAAGGACAGCGTTTTATTGTATTTTTACTTTTTTTTTTTCAATAGAGGCAGAACTGTGTGGCTAGGAACGAGAACTGCAGCCAGACTGTGTCCAAATCCCGCTTCTGACCCTTAGACGCTGTCTGTGCTCCCTGGGCTTCAGTTTCTTCATCTATAAAATGGACGGTAGTATTTATATCCTAGAGGATTAAATGAGGCAGAAGTTAAACACATAGAGAACTGCCTGACAAATGTTAAACACTCAAATTGCTAGTTGTTGTTATTGATAAATATCAGGCCTAGCTTTAAAAAATACCCAATCAAAACAATTTTGAAAGAATATGGTAGGGAATACAGTATGCTAAAATACATTATGATAAAGGAGAATACAATTACTTCTTTAACATCTAAACAAGTCAAAATATAACAATTTAAAAAAATGGGAATTACAAGTGGAATTTCACAACTTCAGAAAACAGTAAGAATTTTATGTCTATCCTTAAGAAACTCAGTCGGTAGATAATCTAACACGGACTCAGGGAGAAGAAAATCTGTGTAGGACAGTTTTTAAGGATTTCTCAGTATTATAAGTTTCCAAAATGCATGGAGTAAAGATTCTTTGAAGGTTAAAAAGTGATTTGTAAGTGATAATGTTCTTACTCAAAAATTTATCCAGTGCCCACATGTTAGATTGTCGATTCTAGGTAATAGGTAAAAGTGGAATCTAATCCTACACAGAGGTCACAAAATAATGTTCTTGCCAAAGCACAAGAAGTTCAACTAACTTAAGAATGCAGTTGTCGTCTGTTTAGGTTTTACTCCACTTTCACTAGGGCCCCCAACTCCAGCCTCCAGGGGCAGCCCTGCCCTTCTCTTCTAACTCACCTGAGCCCCCTGGCTGGACCTCCCTGCTTAGTCCCAGACTTTTATTCTGAAAGCCATTTTGATATCTAATTGTGAACTTCCATTGTAACAGATGCTTCGGATCTAAATATCAGTACCTTCTCCTATCCTTCCTTCCCCTTTCTAGTCTGCGTTCACCTGGGGAGGGACCCTCTTATCAATGGCGGTGCTTGGGAAACCTTCACGTGCATCCAGATCACCTGGGGATCTTGTAAAGTGCTGATTCTGAAGCAGGTCTGAGTGAGGCCTCGATTCTGCATAAAGAGCTCCAGTGGAAACCAATGCCACTAGTGAGCAGACCCTGTGGCCTTTTTCCAGCATCTGCTCCTGATTTAACTGGTCCCACCTGGTCATGAGTTTGTCCTCTTACATTTGCGATTTTGATCCACAGGCTCTCAGGTCGTGTACTCCTCACATAGTGAGGCAGCTGTGGGCTGCTCCCAGCTGCTTTGGATGGTGGAGTGCCTGCTTGTGTGTGGCCAAGGGTTGCATGAAGTTTAGTTGTTTGTTGATTTTTTTTTTTTATTTTGCGATTCATAAGTTAACCTATGTTAACTGTATTGCTCCTCTCCTTCACAATTTTTTCCCTATTTTCAACGTTAATGCCTTTTGACAGAGGATATTGCTGGGTGCTGTTGAGTGGATTCCAACTCATAGCAACCCTCTAGGTTACAGAGTAGAATTGTCCCATAGAGTTTTCTAGGCTTTAGAGGATACCAAACCCAACCCGTTGCCATCGAGTCAATTCTGACTTATAGCGACCCTATAGGACATAGTAGAACTACCCCATAGGTTTTCCAAGGAGCGGCTGATGGATTCGAACTGCCGACCTTTTGGTTAGCAGCTGAGCTCTTAACCACTGCGCCATCATATTTTCCTTCAAGCATCTGTCTCTGCCTTGAATATCTACAGTTGCACCTTAGATAGAAAAGAAATAGAGAAATATAATGGGAGCAACAAATTTAATTTTAAATTTTCTACTAGCCCCATTAAAAAGTAAAATGAAATGGGTGAAATAAGTTTTAGTATATTTTATTTAACCCAGTATATCCAAAATATTAGAACATGTAGTATAAAACTTGTTAATGAGATACTTTACATTCATTTTTTATTAAATCTTTTAATGTCAGTGTGTCTTTTATTTTATAACCCGTTGCCATCAAGTCGATTCTGACTCATAGCGACCCTAGTTTATACTATAGAACATCTCAATTTGGACTGACTACATTTCAACTGCTCAGTAGTTGTAGGTGGCTACCATATTTGGCAGCGAAAATTCTAATATATGCTTAGAATCTCAGAATGCCAAGCCTTCAGATTCTTCTCATTGTGTTTCTTTTTTTGGTCAGCTCTACTGAGTTATGATTCATTCAAGCATACAGTTCTGTGACAAAGGTATGTATACAACTGTGAACTAACAGCACCATCATGATATATAGAGAGCATTTCCACCAACTCACAAAATCTCCTTGTGCCCCTTTGCAGTTTATCCTTTCTTCATACTCCTGGGCCCTAGCATCCACTGATCTGCTTTCCAGTACTATAAGCTTCCCTTTTCTAGAGTTGTATATGAGCAGAATCATACAGTAAGATATTTTTTGTGTCTGGTTTCTTTTGCCTACCATAGTGCTTTTGAAATTTATCCTGTTGTGTGTACTGGTAGTTCCATTTTATTGTTTGGTAATACGCCATCGTATCCTTATGCCACAGTTTGTTCATCTGTCTACCAATTAATGATCTTTTGGATTCTTTCCAGTTTTTGCCTATTACTGTATTGCATTTATGTGGCAGAAACGCTTCCCCTAACAGAATTATGTAAACCAAGCATATATTTGCCTGATATGAGTATGTGTGTGTGTGTGTGTGTGTTGGGGGAGATGGAGTGGGCCTTGAGTTATAATAGTAAGTATAATACCACCACAATTATTTTTTAATATTAATTATTTCATAAAATAGCCTGTATCCATTGTGATACTCCAGTGCCAACATCAAGTCCAGCTATAAACTCAGCAATATGCTATGAATTTGATTCAATTATAAACTTAATTGCTGATCTTTTGTGTGAGGTCGGAGCCCTGGTGGCACTGTGCTTACGCGTTCGGCTGCTAACCAAAAGATCGGCAGTTTGAATCCACTAGCCGCTCCTTGGAAAACCTATGGGGTAGTTCTACTCTGTCCTCTAGGGTCCCTATGAGTTGGAATCGACTCAGTGGCA